GTAAAAAAAAAAAAAAAAAGAAAGAAAGAAAGAAAGAAAGAAAGAAACAGAGGCACAAATATGGAAAATGAGTTAAAACACGTCACTTTTTACAAGACACAGGGTCTACGTCCAAAGTCCCAGGGCATTTATTTCAAAGAATTTCACAAAAGTGACAAGGGCTTACAGGTCACATGGTATAACATGAACTAAACAGGCTTTAAACAGTCTAGGATATCCTAAATACCGAGTAGGGTATACACACTTGGAAGATTTAGCAGAGTTAAGATGTCAATTCTTCCTAAACTGATGCATAGAATTAAAGCAATTCCAGTCAAATATACCCAGGATTTGTTATAGATAGAAACGAGCTGTTTCTAAAATGTAGATGGAAAGACAAAGAAACTGAAACAACCTAGTCAAATTTCAGAAAAGACACACTAGAGCTTATGAAGTCTTGGGTTTGGATCCAGCAAAGCACAAATGCTGATTCACAGTGCCTTATTTTAAGGCATACTATAAAGTTACAGCAATTAAAATATGGATGGACATGGGCCAAAGAAACAAAACAAATGGTCTAGAAAAATGAACTATACAAAAAGAGTCAATAACCAATACTTCACTTTTTAATAATTTTAATGAGATACAGTTTACATAACATTATTTATCCACTTAAGTGTATAACTTAAGGTTATATGCATATACAGCCTGGGGCTGTGCAGGCATCATTACACAGGCACATTTTCACATTCACTGTTCGTTCCTCCTCATATCTTCCTATCCCTATACTAACTCACTTCCTATCTTATAAATCTGTCATACTACACACTGCACAGAAAGGAGTGGGTCTGTGTATCTGGTTTCTCTCCTTTGGAAGAATACTTTCAAGACATGTTTCTTTCATAATACTTTCACAGTACTTTTACCATAATACTTTCAAGACATATCAAACTGCATTCTACTTCATGGAAACAATCCATTTGATCTATTTCTTAGCTGATACTTGATTTGTTTCCACTTTGAGCTACTATGGATAATGTCACTAGGGTCTGCAGTGTTTTTGTGTGGTTGTACATATTTATTTCATTTGCATGCAATACAAATCTGCTAAATCCTATGGTAATCCAGTGCTGAAAAATTTTTGAAAAATTCTAATTTTCTAATATATACCAGTTTACATTCTCGCTAGTAGCATACGAATGTTCTAAATTTTCCACATTTTTGTTACTATATGTTTTTTATTCTAACCATCTGGTAGAGCACTTCCAGTGGCTTCAAGCTACCAATTTATTTTGACAAGGTACAAAGTCACTTATGGAAAAAGAATGTTATTTTCAAATACAATGTTGAAACAATTATGCATTTAGTCATGAGAAAAGTGAACCTTGACTTAAACCATATACCTAAAGCAAAATTAACTTAAAACATGAGCAAAGTCATAAGTATTAAAGGTAGGTGAAGAACTCTTAAATATGATAGCAAAGACAGAACCTAAGAGAGAAAAGCAACAAACTGGACTTCAAAATTAAAAACTGTTCTGGAAAAACACCATCAACAAAGAACAAAAAGGTAAGATAGAGACAAAAAAAAAAGCAAATCATATATTCCAAACAAGATACATATTCAACATGTATAACAAACTCTCAAAAGCTTTTCAAGCTTTGGAAAAACACAATCCCTTGGGGGTGATTAAGAGTACTTGCTGTTTTCCAGAGTAACCAGGTTTGATTCCCAGCAACCAAATGGAAGCTCCAACTCTATGCCCACTTCTGGCCTCTGTGGTAATGGCCCATATGTTGTATATACAGACTTACATGCAAGAAATACTAATAGAGATGAAAAAAACATCAATTTAAAAAAATTTAATAAATTAAAAAAATACATACAACCCCAATTTTTAAAAGTGGCTAAAAACTTTACCAGATAAGAGGCTACAGACTGTATCACCAGTCACTAAGGAGATGCAACTCTAACTCCTTTCTCTCTCTCAAGTAGCTAGCAGGACACAAAAGCTCTGAAGTTCTCACCACTGCCAGTAGAGAGGGAAAGGATCAGTTAAGAAAATAGATGTTTCCACTTTAAATATGGAAGAAAAAGAATGATATGCTAAAGTTGCTAAGATCTGTAAGTGAAACTGCAAAAAAAAAAAAAAAAAGAAAGAAAGAAAAAGAAACCCACATTGTTCTAGAGCCACACCTCCAACTGGGCAAACTGCATCCACCACTCAGACTAAAAGCCTAGTTAAGATGGAAGGTTTCCAGTGGGGAAGGCCAGGGACTGGATCACATGCACCTTTTATTATTAAGTGTCAAGTTTAGCAATACACCTAAACATTTTCTTCAGGTATTATAAATTACCTCAAAACTGTGGATAAAAACCTCTGAATCCTCTTATCCTATTAGATGCTATGCAGTTAAATATGTGCCCTGACAATCAGATAAATATCTATCCTATCTCACACAATCAGTCACTTTCCAAACTTATATGGAACTGGGAAGTGATTTATCAAAAAAAAAAAAAATGTTTCTTTCCTCTAGAGCTCCAGTCTATCAATCAGTAACTGATATTGAAGATTTCTTCACTGATTTGAAAATCAAAGTGAACAAGCTTTCCCAGGCTCCAGGTTGACTTTCTATGAGCAGAGACAGCAGTCAACAAGAAAAGCCTCAGAGTGAGAAACGCGTCTCCCTAAGAGCCATGCCCACCACCACCTATCTAGCGGACATGAGTAATTTTAACGAGCGAAACCCAAGGACTATCAACTGATAGAAATTATATATAGGTCCAACAATAGAATTCTGGTTAGTGTCATAAAAGATCAAAATATAAACCAATTACAAACTTGGACTTGATTTGCTATTAGTCTCCAACCATAGTTTCCAGAATTTTACAGAATAAATGAGTTATCCAACTAATACGCACTCCTAGGTTAGTGAAATTATTTCAGCTTTAGAAAAAGTCAGCTGTATTTGGTGTGACCTCACTTATACAGGACAGTCTTCGAAAATTCCTCTTCAAACATACATTTACTAGAAGGTTGAAAGCAGGATATATCAATTTATATAAGCTATTATAAAAATAAAAACAGATTAGAAATTAAATAAGCCTACTGTCAGAATGCAACCAAGCCAGAGCTCAAAGGCCATCTGCCCAGGTACGCATAATAGAACAAGAAACTGGGTAAGCAAAAGCAAAGTGGCCTTACAAGATGAGGCAAGCCTCATTGAATAAATGGGACCTCCTGAGACTGAGAAGCTTCTGTAAAGCAAAGGACACTGTCACTAAGACAAAAAGGCAACCCACTGACTGGAAGAAGATCTTCACCAACCCCGCAACTGACAAAGGTCTGATCTCCAAAACATATAAAGAACTCAAGAAACTAGACCGTAAAAGGCTAATCAACCCAACAATAAAATGGGGCACTGAGCTGAACAGAGAATTCTCAACAGAAGAAGTTCAAATGGCCAAAAGACACTTAAGGTCATGCTCAACTTCCTTAGCGATCAGGGAAATGCAAATCAAGACAACTTTAAGATACCATCTTATACTTGTCAGAATGGCTAAAATAATAAACACCAATGATAGCCTTTGCTGGAGAGGTTGTGGAGAAAGGGATACACACATCCATTGCTGGTGGGAATGCAAACTTGTGCAACCACTTTGGAAAGCAGTGTGGCGGTTTCTCAGGAAATTCGGGATCAACCTACCCTTGGACCCAGCAATACCACTCTTGGGAATATACCCAAGAGAGGCCTTATCATACAACAAAAGTATATGCTCTACTATGTTCATAGCAGCATTGTTTGTAATAGCCAGAACCTGGAAACAACCTAGATGCCCTTCAATGGAAGAATGGATGAAGAAAGTATGGAATATATACATGTTAGAGTATTACTCAGCAGTAAAAAAACAAGGACTTCTTGAATTTTGCATACAAATGGATGGAAATAGAAAACATTATCCTGAGTGAGGTAAGCCAGACCCAAAAAGAGGAACATGGGATGTACTCACTCATATTTGGTTTCTAGCCATAAATAAAGGACATTGAGCCTATAATTCGTGATCCTAGAGAAGCTAAATAAGAAGGAGAACCCAAAGAAAAACATATAGGCATCCTCCTGAATATTAACCTTCATCAGGCGATGAAAGGAGACAGAGACAGAGACCCACATTGGAGCACCGGACAGAAATCTCAAGGTCCAAATCAGGAGAAGGAGAGAGAGCACAAGCAAGGAACTCAGGACCGCGAGGGGTGCACCCACACACTGAGACAATGGGGATGTTCTATCGGGAACTCACCAAGGCCAGCTGGCCTGGGTCTGAAAAAGCCTGGGATAAAACCGGACCCGCTGCCGGGCAGTGGTGGCGCACGCCTTTAATCCCAGCACTCGGGAGGCAGAGGCAGGCGGATCTCTGTGAGTTTGAGGCCAGCCTGGTCTACAAGAGCTAGTTCCAGGACAGGAACCAAAAGCTATGGAGAAACCCTGTCTCGAAAAAATCCAAAAAAAAAAAAATCAAAAACGGACCTGCTGAACATAGTGGACAATGAGGACTACTGAGAACCCAAGAACAATAGCAATGGTTTTTTTTTTCCCCCAGTCCAATTCTCTCTTTTTTAAAAAAAAATTTATTTATTTATTAAAGATTTCTGCCTCCCGAGTGCTGGGATTAAAGGCGTGCGCCACCACCGCCCGGCTGGGTCCCAAAAGTATTAAGAGCAGAGGGCACGCCAATCACAAGTATAAAAAATTCCCAACTCCTGTCTCAAGGTCTATCCACACAACAATGTAACGCCTGTGGTTCACACAGCATACTTTCGGAAACACGGCAAGTGGGAAGGACTTCCAATCTGCATTATTTCATGCTCCACTCTCAGACACTGCTTTCCCTGAGATTACCTATAATCCAGAACAGCAGTCTGGACTAGCAAATCTGAAAATTGCTTGGGTCACAGTCCCCAGCTCTGGAGCCTGCGAACGGATGCAAACATAACGGAGAACGTCTGCACAAGAGGTACCTACGTTCTTTCCGGTGCTCAACTAAACCAATAGCCTGCTTCGCAGAGCACTTTGCAAACCAGTTGTCCCCAAGTAAAACAGTAACTTCATTAGTGTGGACAAGTCTTCCTGGCATGAAGGCAAGAGGGCCAAATGGTACCTATCGGTCAAAAGAGAAAGAGAAAGGCAAAAATTTTAAACATACATTTAAAAAATATTTAGTATAAGAAACCGTACATTACTGAATTCTTACCTATGTACTGAGAAAAATAAAATGTCAATTTCACAGAAATTTAACATTATATTGAAATTTTAGCAGGAAAAACTATAGAAAATTGTATTAGACTGATAAATCCATGTTAAAATAGGAAAATAAATCCACAGCATATTTCCATGACAGCTATTAGAGAAAGTAGTGCTGTCTCTGAATGATTATACATTTCATTAATTCTAAAGTCTAAATGAAACCAAAATAGTAACGAAAACTACTGCCAGTATAACTAAAACTACGGTAACTAAAACTATGTTTTTAAGGGAGGAATTAACAGTTTTATTGCATCTACCTACTCACACTTAATCTAGTAAAACAGAATAAATCCTCATAAAGCACACTGATACAATGGAGGCTGCAGCCAAAGGCTCAGGACCAACTGTATGACATGAGGAAGGTCATTCAAAAAGAAACTAGTAGCACTTCTCATGTTATAATGTATAAATAAATGTTCTGCGTTTTATTTCTGTGAGTTACCAGGCATTATGGCTTGTTCTTACTCTGGATAACAGAAAATAACTCAATGTCATATTCCTATCATAACTGGAATTTATATATAAAAAGATATTTACAGGGGCTGGAGAGATGGTTCAGTGGTTAAGAGCATTGCCTGCTCTTCCAAAGGTCCTGAGTTCAATTCCCAGCAACCACATGGTGGCTCACAACCATCTATAATGAGGTCTGGTGCCCTCTTCTGGCCTCCAGGCATACACACAGACAACATTGTATACATAATAAATAATTTTTTAAAAAAAGATATTTACATGCCAAACCTGTCAGATTTTTGCTAATATGCCATTACATTATATCACAATAATTATATACAAACTATTATTTTTGTTTTAAGGCCTAACAAATCAAACCTTCCTTGCTATTGTCACCTCTGACAGTGTATCAACTGTTGTGAACGCACATACACAGCAAGGACATATCCTATCATTTTGCCATTAGACTGTCTACAACAAACATTGTGACTCTAAAAGGAACACAGAGCGCATACCATGACGTCGTAGGATAACTTGTCAGGCAAGGTCCTCAGTCTCTCTTGAAGAGCACTATAGTCACTGTCTACTTTCTCCCTGATGAGGAAAACACCACACACAAAATGAGTACACAAACCAGCAACAGCCAACAGTCTTGTTGGCTTTGTCCAGCAGTTTATATCACTATAAAACGAGTTTAGGAGTTCATCGATGGCACTGTTCACCTATAAATTCACTCAGAAATAAAATTCACTTTGAAACAGAATACTCACATCTTGAGAATTAGCTTCATTAGTAGAAGATGGCCTAGTCTAAATAAAATGCAAAAATTAGGGAAATGCAAAGGAGGGAGCCAGGAACTCAAACTGAGAAGAAACATCATACAGCTTCTGAGTGAATAAACAGATTACAGTAGAGACTGAGTACAAGACAGCACCAGGTACTTCAGTCCTCATCAGAAAAGTTAAGCTCAACTAGTCATACAAATGCAAATAAGGTAAGAAATCTGACCAAGGGCAGAAAAAAATTAGGCAACAGTAATGTAGAAAGAACTTCAATTAGTGTCTGAAATCTGTTTCATGGTCTATCAAAACAGAGCTATTAGCCAGGCATGGTGCCAACATGCCTGTGACCCAACACTAGGAAGTAAGAGGCAGGAGAAAGATCAGAAGTTCTAGGTCATTCTTGTCTTTATAGTGAGTTCAAAGCCAACCTACTGGATTACATGAGATTCTGACTCAACGAAAATAAGGAGAAGGGGGGTAGGACATCCATTTAAACAATCCTAAGATCTGACTCAATGTAACTCTATTGGAACAGAGAACAGCATGTGTCTAAACTGCTCTTCCACAGGACTTCAGTCTACTGGGTGTCAATCACCCCTCTTCCTAAGACCAAGCACTCACCTATGCTGAGATGAGACTTCTTTGGAGGCCAAGTTTCCTAAGGACTCTTTGCTAAGATGGAAGCTACACACACATCTAGAGTACTGAACTATTCTGACTATTCTGTTAAAAGATGGCAAAAACAATAAGCTCATCAAGTAGGCAAGTAATTTAAATGAACACATACTGTCAGACTAAAATTCATCCTCAGTATCGTGTAGGTAATTACCTAGATAACAAAAATGACTACTACAAGTAACGAAATTGGCATCAGTTTACTTTTTAGCTCCACTACAGCAATAGTAGCATAATTAATAAAAACTATCCACTCAGTCTCAAGGTTTGGAGAATTTCACGTATGTTACTATTTATCCTGAAAATACTCCTACAGGAATGTCACTCAACATTTTTTTCTTATACAAGATAACACAAAGCAAACAGAAAATCAACAATGGAAAAAGCCAGATCTCCTGTGTCCTGTTGAGGTAGACACCCTCACTCTTCATCTTATTCTCTCATACAAAATCTACTTTTCTAATGTCCTATATAAACTCTCCACAAATTCTTATCCATAAACAAACACAAAATGTCTATCATGGTATTTCTTTTGTGCATGTATGTGTGAGGGAGCCCACGGCACATGTGTAAGCTGGAGATCAACACTGGGAGTCTTCTGCAATCATTTTCCACCTTACATCTGAGACAAGATCTCACCAATTCGGCTAGAATGACTGGCTAGCAAGCTCCAGGGATCTTCCTGTCTTTGCCTTCCCAGCGCTGGGGTTGTTACACAACCATCTTCTCTATGTGGTGTTGGAAATCAGAACTCAGGTCTTCCTGACTGAACAGCAAGCACTTTACTCACAACCATCTTCCTAGACCCTATTATTATATTTCATAAGGAAATAAATTACCCTTTTGGGTACATTTTTATATGACAAAATGCCAAAAATTCTTCACGTATGGGACTATGTACCAGGACCATGGTCCATGGCTTTAAAGTCAAACCAAAGAGTGAATCCCAGCTCTCCTACTTCACTTACACAAACTAACCTTGGCCTTAGCTTCTTCATCCATGTTAAAACAGGAAAAATGCCTATTCACAGGTTCAAGAGCATAAAACATAATTTTCAGAAAAGATTATTAAGTACTAAGGTAAGATCCCACTTAACAGTCATTCAACTGGATAGTGTGACTTACTGAACAGTAACAGGATAACTGAATGTCAGCATTCAGAGGCTTTGGAAACAGGGTCAATATGAGCAACAAAGAGGATGATGTGAAACAGTGCCGACATATCACTGATGCTCATTAATCTATGGAATACTAACAGCCCCTGTGATTCAGACTGAGACTGTGTAAAAGCTCAAGGACTATCCATCCACTATCTAATGCTTCTGATTAGGTCCAATTAAAGTTAGCATTCAGCATGTCTTACATTGGTAATCATACCTAGAAAAGAGGACTTTAAAAAAGAAATCTCATGTGCCCTCAGAGAACAGAAAGTTCAACCAAGGTAATGTCAGCAATCAGTATTTCCAAATGAACACTCAGCTTTAACCTTCATTAATAATTCTCTCTAGAACAAAAAATGTGAACAAATTAAAGAACAGTTTAAGATTAGAGTTGCTATTTCTACATTTTTAGTTATTTTCTAAAAACAGAAAAAGAAAGTGAAAGATGATTTAAAATATAGCAATGTAGAAATACTTTTTGAAGGAAGACCAGCTATGTATCTTGAAGAAATCCCAGAAGATCATTCTGGTCAAAACATCCAGAACCAAGCGCTTAACCAAAACACGATCTCCACAGCCCTCTAATACACAAGACTAATAGTCCCTTTAAAACATCATGAGCCTATGCAGCAGCCAAGTTCATCTCTGTGTGTTGAACTCATCTCACATCCACGTCTGTATATGGATACACACATATATATTTTTTAATTAGAGGGAAATTTGCCTACAGGGTATACAGTGCCCAACGAGGAAAGAAGGGAGAATCAGATCCACTGGGGCTAGGAGTTACAAGTGGTTGTAAACTACCACATGTGTTTTGGGAGCTGAACCCAAGTCCTCTACAAAAGTAATATGGACTCTTAATTGTTAAGCCATAAAAACAGAAGTTTACTTTTTTTTTTTTTCGAGACAGAGTTTCTCTGTGTAACAGTTCTGGCTGTCCGGAAACTCACTTTGTAGACCATGCTGGCCTCCAACTCACAGAGATCTGCCTGCCTCTAAGTTCTGAGTGCTGGGGTTAAAAGTGTAAGTCACCATACCTGGCTTTAAATTTTTATTTTATTCATTCATTCTCATTCATTCATTCATTTTGTTTTTTCAAGACAGGATTTCTCTGTAGCTTTGGAGCCTGTCCTGAAACTAGCTCTTGTAGTCCAGGCTGGCCTCGAACTCACAGAGATCCTCCTGCCTCTGCTCCTGAGTGCTGGGATTAAAGACATGTGCCACCACCGCCATGCAAGATTTTATTTTTTATAAGAATATTTAGCCTACATGTACATCTGTGTACTACATGCATGCTAGTATCCTCAGAAGTCAGAAGAGGACATTGGAGTCCCTGGAACTAGTTATAGATAGTTGTGAGCCACCATGTGGATGCCAGGGATTGAGACTGAATCCTCTACAGGAGCAACAAGTGCTCTAAACCACTGTGCCATCTCTCAAGCCCCAATACAAATTGTCTTAAGAACTAATATTAAAGATTGGAGAAGGTTAGCAGCCACAATGAAGGCATAGAACACTTCTATAAATAGCCCTACCCTTAAAGCATTAAGATCAGGACAGATCCTATGGGAAATATTTATTTTCATAGAAGTGTAACAAGCTGAGAGAGCAAGCTAAATGAGGTGTGTGAGTGAGTATTTAAAGGTGAAGTATGCCAATGACTTGCTCTGAAATACCTCAGGAAGAAATGAATTAATGAGTAAGACATGGCTGGTGTACAATCAAGGCTCAGTCCAACTCTTCTGTGCAACTGAATATTTCTGTAACAGACTATTTAAAGGGGTACAGGAGAGCATGAAAAATACGTTTTTAATCTTTCTCTTAATGGGAAAAACACTTTTGCAAAAAGAAGTAAGCTCTACATCCCTTGTTCCAGCAAGTGATGGGCTCTCATCTCCATCTTTAAAGGGAAGAAACGAAATCTCTGCTTAGAAAAGTAGAATCTTCCAAATGTACTTACGCAGGAAGACATAACTGGCAGATAATACTAACACCAAACTGTCTTCTTGAAGGGGGTCTCCTATCGCTCTTTCCCTATACCTAACCTGCTAAACAAACAAAGCAGTAAACACCACGAGATGCTTAAAAGCAAAGGGCTTTGCATTAGTGCAAACATGCAGGTTATTATCTTCAGTCAAGAAACAATTATCTGTTGTTTCTAAGAAACAATGAGACCCAAAGCTTCTGAAACACACAGGACTCAACAGCAGCTATTTTTAGTTCATTATCACCACTTCAGAACTATCCTATAAACATCTAAGAAAGCCTACTTTGGATCCAATTCACTAGACATTCACTCACTCCTCTGCAATTGAGCCTTGGGCCACATCACAGAGGCCATCACTCAAATCTAGCAGGCCTTTCTAAAATTTGCAATCTGTCTGCATTAAAGCACCACTGGCTTGAAGGGTCCCTGGGCCACCTCCAGAATTAAGAAAGTAAAGGAAAGTTCAGTTCAGGCATAGATACAGGCAGAGATTCTCTCTCATTGCTACAGCAAGAAATAACAACTGTCTTCAGTGTCCTCTTACATCTAACGAAGGTTTTAAGTTACATGACAAAATATAAATTCTTGAAGGAAGGACAATTCTTTTCTGTGAACTGGTAGGGAAAGGAATGCTCCTCATTCACAATTTAAAAGTATTTGTATAAAATCAGTGGCATCATTACCTTTTTTCCTAAATAGTCACAGCAAAATACTCAGAGACTTCACTTAATTTGGTAATTAAAATCTACCTTTAAAAAATTTAAGGTAAAATGGAGACATGTTCCTTTTTATGACTGCATCACACTGAAGAGCTCACTTCATCAGAATATGCTGATGACCTAACACATGTTTCTTATGTTTTATTAGTCACCAGAAAACAATAAAAATAATCTAAAGATAAAAAAGATAACCTCGGGCTGGAGAGGTGGCTCAGAGGTTAACAACACTAGCTGCTCTTCCAGAGGTACTGAGTTCAATCCCAGCAAC